ATCAAAAGAAAAATGGATTCTTGATCAACATCACAAAAACCATATAATGAAGCATACTCAATCTAATCACAAATAGGCAATAACAAAAATAATCACAAAACATTGAATCCCTTTATTTCGCCTTATTATTATCCAAAGCCTTTGAACCTTTCTCAAGTTTGATACACTATGGTGTAACTTAAACACTTCAACCAATATCAATAACTCAAATCACACCATATAATCATTTTATATTAATTTACAATCACATAAATTGAATTTAAAGATTTGGATAATTCACTTGCTAAAAAAATATGAAAAAGGTCGAAGGAATTTTTTATGATCAAAATAGGGTTAGTTTCGATTTTTTCAACCCCAACGAGACCGATTATTCAATCAATCGGAGAGAAGGAATGATCACCTATTGTTAGATCTAGATTTAATGTCAAGCAATAAGGTGGCCACTAGTGGCTATTAGTGGTGGCCAAATATGGTGGCTCGCTACCATGAACGATGGCGATGGATTGCTACCACCGAAACCGATCAATGACAATGTGAATCGCATATAGTGTGAATCGTTGAATGGAATCGTTGATAGTGGTTGGTCATGGTAGCTAGAGTTTTGTCACTCGCTCAAGGGAGAAAGAGACAGTGGCATGGGCTGTGGCTTATTTGTGACAATGGTTGTGAGGAGGACCAAGTGGTGGTAATGGCTATGATTGGACTTCGTGGATGAACAACGATTTTAGAGATGATCCGATGGCATGTCTTACTACCAATAAATTTAATATGTTTTCTTTTTCCTTATTAGACCTAATTATAAGATTATAGCTAGGTAAGCAAGGTTCAATCTCATAGAGAATTGGTTTAATCAACTTATCCTTTTGTCTTATTGTTTCAAGGTAAAGTATAGAGAGAAGAGGGTTTTGTGTGTTGAGAGTATTAAATGTAGTTAAAGCAAGTAAAGTGACAACAATAATAATGAAAGTCTTGGTTAAAGGTTGGTTTTCACTTTTGGTTCAATTGTTGATCATCGATTTATATATTAATTCATTCTTATTATGAATATTCACCATGAGATAACATTTATGTTATCCTCAATCTTTTTTAGTGATTCGTTAATCAAATATAAGTTATTTGACTAATCCCTAACTATTGAACAACCTAGTATATGCTATCTAGATTTAATCCAATAACAACATTAAATAATAAAAAGATAGGTGAAGCTAAATAACTCTTCTAGATGTTAGAAGAAATTAATTTAGTTTTATGTTTTTCAAGGGATTAAATGAAAACCTATTTATAATCATTAATCCCTAGTTGCTACCACAAGTAATTCTAGACAAGCAATTACGAACTTAAATACTTAGCTATCAATAGATTATAAAGATTAATCAACCAGCAGGCACTTTAATTAATCAACCATACAACCATATTCATATAATATAGAAAAACATAAAATACTCAAAAGAATAGGATTAGAGATAAAACCCGTTTAGATCTCATAACGATTTTACTAAGGGCTTTAACTTTTCTTCAACCAAGAAAGATTCTTAGTGATACATGGTTAGCTTATAAGAGAGAATTTCTATCTATAGTGGTGGAACAATGGGGGAATCCTTAGAATTCATAAAGTGAAACCTTAAATTCTCTATTTAAGCAAAAGGTAGGGTTACAACACACTCATGTTAGCTCCACGTGGACACATGATTTATTCTTTTATTTCATATGGTTTGGAGCCTCGAAGAGTTGGTATCACATGGCTTGCTTGATCGAGCACACGATCATGCCTAATTTTTTCTTCATCTCATGTCACTTTGTTTATGTCTATGTGTCGTTTCTTTCTCCCTTGCAATACATCTTAGCATTGAGACATACAAGTGTGCCACTTCTCCTACCCAAGTTGTGTTGATTGCTATTGCCCATGAGCTTTTCTCGCTGAACATCCATATGGTTTTCTTCTTTGTTTCACATGGCTAATAGTTTTTTTCTCCGATATGTCACACTACCTTGTGTCTTCTTTGGTTCCTTTTTATGCATTTTGATTTGGGTTTATTCACTTTAATTTGCCATTTTCCTTTTAAAAAAAACCCAAAATCACTATATTGTTCTTAATTATCTTAATTTAATATAATAAACACTAGTAAGTTTAATATAAAAGGGCTAGTGTGAACCACATCTAGCTTCGAGTGGCGTTTGGAGAAGTATAAAGCTCTTCGTGGCAAACTAGTTAGTGAAAGGACAAATAAGGGTTGGGCTAGCGTATGGTTGATCGAAAATTTCAAAGGGAGAAGGAGATGACCGGATTTCCTGAGAGAGATTGTAGTTGGAAAATTTTTTGAAGAGAGTGATCGGCTAAGGTTTGAAAAAAGAGGGGTTTTTATACTGATTTTTTAGGGTTTTTAGGCTAAAATCCAATTTGGTCCCAAATCTTGTGAACCAATTTTATTTTGGTCCTTTTTTCTTCACTTTTTTCAATTGCATCCCTCAATTAAAATTTTTAGTCCCCTTTATTATTTTTCATTTATATATATATTTGAATAATTTATGAAAATAAATAGGCAAAATTTGGGTGCTAACATATGGCATAAAAAAAATTTTAAGAAAAAAAAATTCACGTGTTTTATTTGCTTCTTCTTTATATAATCAAACTTATAAAAAAAAATTAATTTTACGAGTGGTTTTTTTTTAGTCTATTAAATTCAAATTTATTCAATATATTTCTTGCAAGTTAAGTTTTTTTTTTTGTTAATATTTTTTGTTTTATTTACCGATTCTGGACCCATTCAAGTATAGGTATGATGTATCAAAAAAATATTAAATAGTTGCTATTCAAAATGTTGAATCGTTGGTTTTAATAAATATTTACTGATATTTGAAAAAAAATGATTGTTTAACTATAATATTGATTTTAGAATGTTTATATTTTATGGCAATTGCGTTTATCAATGACCATATTCTTTAAAAAAAATTAAATAAATAAAGAAATTAGTACCAAGACAAGATGATACGAATCAACTCCTTCTTCTTGAGTGAATAAATATATCATTTTTTGAAATCTCTCTTCCATTCATGATTGGCTAGCTCATTGATTCAAATAATATCCAAACACTAAATCCACATTCTATATAACTTTTCGTGAAGTAAAAGCTCTTGCAAATATCAATTTTTAAAGGTCAAAATGAACTCTTTTATTTTGAATTATAAATCAAATGTACATACTTTTAAAAACTAATCTTTTCATCAACATTAAATAAGAATCAAAATTTTTTTTTTTGTTTATTTTTATAAAATTTTTTATATTAAGTGTTACTTTATTTTTTGACACATTTATGAAAAAAATACAGAGGATTTTTTTTAGATTATAACAAGTTTTTAATTAAGAATCCATAGATAAAAAATAACAAATCATATTTTTTTAGTAGAAAGTTTATGAAAAACATAAAGAGCAATTAATTAAATGCAAAAATGTGAATAAAAATTATAAAATTGAATGATTTTTTTTTTTAACTTTTGATTTGATATATTTTGTTGGATGCATAACATAGTACTAACCATCAAATTAAAATAATTTTTTTAAAATGATTTCACATATTAACCTGTTGCAGGTAAAAATAAAAACTAAAAACTAATTCATACTAACATGATTTTGAGGCCTCGTAGTACATATTAACATGATTTATAATTGACTCAAAGAGGAGGGGAAAGAAATCCCTCCCTGTCAGACTCTAAATATTGTATACCACGTTTGATAATTCATACTATAAAATAAATAATGAATAAACAAAATAATTTAAAATGAAATAGTCGACAAAGTCGAAGCAATGAATGCCTTTATCAATAAACAGTTTGACAAAAATTGAGCTCGAAGGATATGGTGTCGGACCTACACTGATTTTAATCTTTAAAGAGTAATTTTTTTGAGCAAATGGGAAATATTTGTAAATTTTACCATCCCACCAAGCACCATTGATGTAGCCATCAACACTAGCTATGAGACACCTCAACAAGTCTTCCTCTGTATTGTGATTCCAACAAACCTCCTTAATTTCTTGCATATCCCTACAAGAAAATATTGAGGCAAATTAAGCATGGTTCATGATATATTGCTTTTATTTTGATCAAACTACTAGTGAGTTCCCTGTTACGTTAGCTCTTTAAATAGAAGTTTTCAATTTCTTTTTTATAGGAATTCTACAAAACAATTAAGCACATTCTTGCAAACAGGGGAGAATACTATCCGATTAAAACCAAAAAAATCAAACCGAATCAAAATAGCAATTTCGGTTCACTTTTATAAAAAAATTTGAAAAATAAAAATCGAAACCAAAAACCAAAATTATTTCAATTCGATTTTTAAAAAAAAAAATCGATTTCCAACAAAAACAGAATTAGTATTTTTTTTTTAACACACACACACCCAAGGCTCATAACATTTTCCTATAATTTTCTTTACTAAAAAATTAATTCAAACTATTAATACTCCTTGAAAATAAAAAATAAAAAAATTATCAAAAAGTGACATTTCAACTTGGTTCAAGAAAAAAAAAACTGATTTTTAATTGAAAACCAAACTGAAAATTTTGGTTTTTTAACAAAAAAACTGAACCTCAATTCGATTTGATTTTGATTTTTGCTTTAATCAATTCACTTAATCAAAAACCAAAAAAAAAAAAAAAAAACCCGAATAATCACCTCTATTTGCAAAGAACTTTGCTTGTGGGGATTTTGAGGATAAGGAAATGCCCACCAAACCCAATTCAAGCAGGAGCAATATGTTGAATACCATCCTCAGATTCAAATCATGCTAAAAAAAAATCCAGGCTTGATCTAACGTCCAACTAAATATTGTTAGACGCAGCTTTCGGAGAAAGCCATGTAGAAAAAGCTTGAAAAAGAATACACAAAAGAATAAATAAATTAAGGAGAAGATGTTTTTTATACTATTTCCTGTCATCAATGCAATTATTATTTTACAATATCTTTCAACAAGAAGTGCCCTAGCATGTAGCACTTCAGAACTACAAGCTAGCAGCAACATATATGGAGGATTCTTGTTGCTTTAGGCTGTCTGCAACATGAGCAATCACTCCAGTGCCAGCATTATGAAACCATTCATTTTTCACCTGAAATGTGGTGAAAAGAAAAGTTAAATCAAGAAGTGAATCAGGAAAGTAAGGTTATCGAAATTGGAAATCAAAATAGCGTCAGTACATGTATGTTGTTATGGGCAAAGAAGGGCCAGAATGCTGAGTGAAAGCTCACATCAACTTTTTTCCATCCCAGCCTCTGTAAACCACTTATCATTTCCTCTGTTAACAAACTGAAAGCAATCATTACTCTTGTCATTGGCCAAAAAAAAAAAAAAAACAAACAAACTCTTTTGTCATGGGACAAAAAACGAATTCAAAATAACAAAGCACGAATCTTGGATGCCATGTATTTTTTACCTTCCACGATTTCATGGTACTCTACTGTATTTTTCGTGCTCGGTTCGTTCTGAGCTGCCTCCTTTGCTTTGGCAGCTTCTGGAGGAAAATGGGGGCCATCAGAAGAAACTGGTGGACAATACTCAACATCTACAACATGCTTGTAACCATCCAAGGATCGCAGAGGTGGCTGTCATTTTAGAAAATGTCAAAATGATGCAGAAACATTAGAAAACTATTGGTTTAACGCTGATATTTCCACAACATTTGTTTACCCAAATAATTCTGCTGCTCTTTCTGGCTTGAGAGCAAAAATAACATTTAGCAGTTGGAATTAGTAATTTTATGAAGCAACATAGTTCATGGACTTATTACATAAAGATTAATTCTTTTAACCATATAATCTTGGACCTTCAAATGATTTTTCACATGTTTGCACCTGTGATCCTCAAGCACTCGAATTCAAATGGAAAAAAATATTTCCTGGACATAAGCGCAAAGAATTGGAAACCATTGCAAGCTAATTTGCACCCTATTGTTTTACATATTTATTACTCAGGAGAGAGCCAAGTCCTGCAGCACTCGTATTTTTCTTTTTCAGAACTTCCCTTGGAAACAAACTCTCAAATACTGCCATTGCATTACTCTTATTTGCACTCAAGTCTTCAGAGATCATATTAGAAGAATTGTGGTAAAAGAATATAATTTCAAAGTAATCTCAGCAAATTTCCTAGAAACGCTGCTTTAATTGCATGTTGCAGAGAAGAAAGTTATCAATTTCATATTCTAAATACTGCATTGCTAGTTCCACGGAGATAGTAACTCTAGCTAGAGATGGCTTCTCTAAAGCCCTACGTACCTATTATGATTTTCTCAACAAACGGTTTTATCCTAAGACTTATAAAAAATCTCAGCCAAAAAGTTGATAAGAAGTTTCTCATAAAAAGAAAATGCACATTTATGGAACCATCCATCTGGTAACATGATGCTTTTGAATATAAAGAGTACAAGTTAACTGACCATAAAAACATAGATTTGAAGCGAAAAGGAACCATGATGAGAAGGGGAAAAAATCTTCCATTGAAGTCTCATTTATAAAATACTGAGAATAATCAACATCAGCATTTCTGCTTGAAACATGAATATTATGGACTCAAACTCACTCCACTTTCTACAAGAACACTTGGCCTTGCTTATTTACCAAGAAATAAACATGTTGGAAGGAGTTGGAAACACAAAAATAATTGAAAACAATTAATTCAGAGTTCTTTAATAATTTTCATGACAAATATTATCAAGGTCATAGAACTATGCATCTATTAATATATATATATATATATATATATATATAATAAATAGAGTGAGGTTTTCCTATAGCTAATGTCACCTCACCATTTAGAAACTACGATATCTACCAGACAACCAGGGCAGCATATGAATTACCAAATAAAATAACTCTACATTATCAAGAGAATATACTTGTCAGCTTCAATTTTAGACCACTGAACTGTCGACACCATTTAAAACTATGACCGGAAGCAGTGAGCAAGTAAATAGAAGCATTTCTGATTTTGAGTTCCATATCCTTTCTAGGTAGTAGGCAGACTTGAGCCAAAAAGAAGGTTGATTAGGTTCGACACACAATACAAGATTCTACATACACTATCACACACACATGATCACTTGTGTACATCATAAAAAAGGAAATGCACATAACATTAAACACTAAGCATAACAGAAGCAAAAATTGAATTGTATCACTGTTGAGATTCAAGGCTTTATGCTTGCATCCTAATTATAAAGCAACTCATAGTTAACCACATTTAATTTCACTATTATTTTTCCTTCTCAGGAATTAACAATCGTTGTGTCAAACGACGTAGAATAAGAACTATCAACTCACCGTGACAAGTTCCATCTCTCTCCTTATGGAAGATGTACGCCAACCGACCATATCTAGTTAATGTCAAAGAAACTGAGCAAACAGAGGAAACTAAGGCAGCTAAAATATGCAAATAGAAGAAATTCAGTAGGATACGATCATAAGATACATTAGCATAAATAATGCGACAGCTAAATGCACCAAGGGCAGATCTGGAAAGGAAAAAAAAAGAACAAAAAATATGTAAGAACCATTAGGATACACTAGCAGAAAAAAAATTGGCTCAAATCACAATGAAATATTTTTCCACTTACAAAAATTTTCCATCTTCACAATCCGATGCCATTCTCAGAAGAAGAGGTGGTTTGTTAGGTTTACCATCAGTGAGAAACAGTTGACTGCCAGTTCGACCCACGAAAATAGGAGCTATTGGGGGAGCAAGTTTCTCTAAGATGGGAATACCCAAGAGAAACGGAAGCTGAAAAGAAAATGTAAATAGCTAAACAAACTAAACTGCATTGATGCTAAGCAAAAAAATACCAATTATGTGAGGAAAAAAAATATAACATACAGCTAATTGCTGGCTATTCTGTATGAGAATTTAGAATTAACGTATTCAAGGAAGATGATCAGAGATTATTGACAGCATAGAATGTTATTGAAGGTCTGCTTATGTTGCATTGTTTTCATCCTAAACAATGATGCAAACAAACGACACTGATGCAAACAACCAATACACAGCTAAACCATAGTATTTCAAACGACCGAACAAGGTAAGAGCACTGAGATTTCTGATTATCTGATCGTTGAAATGAGTGTCACGTTATGAGATGCACTTGATGATACCATGACCTAACATTCTGACTTTCATAAAACATTTTCAACATATGGAGTACTCATCTTGATGCATTTGTCATAATCATGCTTCACATTAAATTTATAAAACAGGGATCATGTAATAGATGAAGAAAATGAGTTGGCATTTATTATGACTGTCTAACAGATAACCAAATCATTTAAAAAGCAAAAAGCATATAGGCTGCCAACATGGAAGAAAATGTCACACATCTGTTTAAATCAAAATGTAAAACTTTTTTTTTTTTTTTATCATAAAGGCTTCTGGTAGAATTTGTCATAATGGAGCCCAGATTAGCGTCAATAATAGATGATCACTGTATACTACTACAACTATGTATTAAGAAGCAGCATCCAGAACTAACCTGCTTTCTTCCCCTCACCCCAAGATGTGGAGTTGCCAAGGTAATAAAATTAACTGGTTCCAACCCAGCAATCATACCTCGTCTTGAAGAACAGGCTGCTTTTGAATTTGGCAGCATAGTATCAGCAGCCACATCAATGGATGGATCAGTATTTACAGCATTTTCTGAATAAAGGGCAGAAATAGCATATCTTGCAAACAAGCCACCAAGAGAATGGGCTAAAAAGGAAATCCTTTTGAGGTTCTCTCTTTTCTGCACAACTTGCATAACCTGTTTATAAAATTGATAACGAGGAAAATCATTGATTATGCATCACATCCCATCCCAACAAACCCAGAACTTATTCAAAACTACCATATGTGAAAGCTACATGAAAATATTTGCAAAGGTTTCAGCACTCACTTCATCTGCAAGTCGCTTTCCTGCTCCATCAATCCCATAAAATGTTTTTGTGTAGGTATTACATGAACTTGCTGCCAATAGCAAAATAATAATAATAATAATAGTAATAGTAATAAATAAATAATAAAAATAAAAATTGATTTGATAACATTTTTCATATAAACATAAGTCATTAGTTGAAATATAAGATTTCAGTTTTTCAGACAAGTCTCCATCCTTGACCATATGCCTCTGATGACTGAACAAACATCAATTACTTCAATGCAGTATCATAGCTTCTCTATTTTGGTGATAAAAACATCGCAATCTGCCGTCCCCTGTTTTTTCACAGATTGGTTTTTGAGGATGCTCAAAATTTTCTTGAGCTTTCTAATTATTTTATATACCATATATCGATTTCCAAAATAAATATAGAAAATTTGGAACCTGCTTGTTAAACATGTAAGAACAAAAATTATTACCAGTATAAGAGATGAACATACCATAAATTAGAAATTTTTTTCCCAAACGCCTTTTTAACTCTGTTTCCACATATGTCCAGTCACTTGGGCTGCATTTGTGAATAATATCAATTGAATGCTTGTTGGGAAACAAAAGCCAAAAGAAATACTACTGCTAAATTATAGTAACTGGGTGTATTACTCGGCGAACTGTGTTTGGTTGATAAATACCTAGCCAAAATGCCATGTACAAGAACAAGAAGATGATCATGTTCATTTTTCTCATTCATGGCGCCTTTGGGTGATGAAAAATTTCCTTGAGTGGCAGTATTCATTGCTTGAGCTTTAATGCCGTGGGTTTTCCAATTACTATTTACACCTGCAATATATTAACTGATATCCTCATGGGCAGTTGATAGTACATAAATACATATAATCTTGCACATCAAATGTAATAAAAAAACGGTAGAAAGCCAGAGAATATAAAGAAAATACATGCAGATGTAACAAACTTGTTTGCACAAGCAAGAGATGACTAAAGCAAGCCAAGTCATACTAACAGAGATCCGTGATATTGTTGCAACAGACAGATGCTTAGAAAAATAATTGCAGCTTTTCACAAAATACCAATATAATTGGGCTAGCATATTATGAATACTAATGGCACTTCCAGATGGAAAACAAAATACAGTTTTTAGAAGTTACTCGTGCATAATTTTTCTGGATCTAATGATCCCTTCTACCAAGCTTGTGCTTAAGATGCCTATATTTGAGTTCTTAGATTTCTCTTAACACGACAGTCTACTGGATTAGGAACAGGTCAAATTTGGCGATTTTAAGGAGATATTTAGGACCAATCAGAAGGTTAAGTACAGTCATTTATTTTGAATGGGCCTGCATGCCTAGATCAAATACACACACCTAGGTTCCACTCTTAACTATTATCTTATTATCTTAAATACATCTTCAAATTCAATAGGGGACGCTCAGGACACTTCAATTAAAATTTTGTCCAATTTAGTTCAGTTTAAATGGAGGGCATGTGAAATTTGGACAGAAAAACCTTATAAAGTTTCTTGAGCAATATTTCTGTCTCTCACGACAGTAAAATTCGAAATATCCCAGTCTGTTTCTTCTGTACATGTTTATCAACCAATCCATATTTGTGCAGCATTTACAACACTAATGCAAGAACAGTTGCAGAAAAGCCTTGTGTGAAGCTAAGTAAGGCTGATCACAGGTTGTTTAGCTGTACAAGATAGCAAAATCCAAAACCCAATAAAATAAAATAAATAAAAATTATGGTGCTCAATAAATAAAGAATAATAATAAAAAGAAAAAAGAAAACAAATTCTCTTGTAATTTCTTTCAGCATAAAGAGACAGCAGCATAAGACCAAGTATCCCACAATCCTAACCTTAAAACAATAGCCAACAATTTATCTCCCTTAGGTTAATTAACAATTTAGAGCTTCTTACAATACTTAGTTGTTCGATTTCAGAATTTCTTTAATTGAAATCTCACCAGCTTATGCACAACGATATCACAGCTAACAATTGCAATCAAATACTATATAAACAAAAAACAATTAACAGATTGAAAACAAAACTAGTAACAAAATTACAAAAAGAAGTGGTTGGAAAGGAAGGAAAGAAGAAAGAAATACCAGAAGAAGAGAAGTTGAGTCCGTGGTGCGAGGAAGAGCAAGAACAATTTGAAGAGGAGGAAAAGGAACCACCTACAGTTCCATTTCGTATATTATAATTACAATTGTTACTAAATCTTGTGGAAGGAGAAGGAGAATATCCAAATCGAGCAGCTTGGGTTAAAGAAGCCGAAGCCGAAGTCGAAGTAGCTGTTGCCATTTGTATTTATATTCACCTTCGCACTGACAGACAGAGAGAAAAACAAAGCCAAAAATGTGCAAAATTACCGGTTTCACGAATTCCGATGTTACTCATATCAGCATTATCTTCATCTTCATGTTGATGATGATGATGATGATGATATCGCCATACCCATACGGGATGTATGGATGCCCATGCTTGATTTTTAATTTCTGATAGCTTTGTTATTTTTCGGCATAAAATTAAATTCTGAATTTCATATATTAGGAGTACTAGCTAGTAATGGCAAAAATTGGCAATTTCCAAAGATTGGCTTGAAAAGGACAGCTATGAGCTAACCGCGAGAGACTGAATATTAGCGAAAATATCTCGCAGCGGGTTGAAGCTTTTGACAGTTAATTTGCCCGGAGGTCCTTGTACTTTTCAGTCTTTGTCAAAATGGTCATTCATTCATAATCGAGTTTTTATATTTTAGGTCCGTCCATCCTTTTAGTTTCTCTATCATAAATAGTATTATTTGGCTGTTGATTGTGAAATATTCTTCAGAATATGTTTTTTTATGTTTAAGGAAGGTCATGGAAAACAAAGGAAATGGATAAAGAAATTTTAAAAAGAAAAAAAATTTAGAAAAAAAAAAAGTAAGTCCCGCCAATTTTGACTTTCTTGATTCATAATTACACGTTTACAGATTAAAAAAATTATTATAAAATTAAATAAAATGAAAATAAAAGGTAATAATTTTTTTTTATTCTCTTCGTTACAACAGCTGTCATTTCTACAACCATCATCCTCATTTATCAAAAACTTACCATATGATAATCACGATAAATACACATTTATTATCACACTCCTCCTTCTCCAAAAAAAAAAAAAAGTTTAAACAAATATTAAAAATTGGTATAATCTGACTGCTCGCATGATAATCATTATTACCATGGTAAACACCACATCATCAAACTATCATCTCCACAAAAATCCAAAAAAGTATGAAAAGTTGAAAATCACTTAACAAATTGGTTTTTTTTTAAGCAAACATACATGAATTTGCCGTTTGTGATAGTTGAGCTTCAATGAAAAGAAGAAAGAGAAAATCTAAATACGTTTTTTTAATTAATTTTGATTTTAGATTGTTTATTTTAAACATGAATTTATTATACCATTAATTTTATGTTTTTTTAAAGGATTGTGGCTTTGGAACGTTAATTAGCTTAGAGATCTTTGTATTTTCATTCCTTTTTAAAATAGTTATTGATTTAATCGAATTCTTATATTTTATATTCGTCCACACCATTATGTTATGTTAATTGTAAGATATTCTTTAAATTATGTTTTTTTTTTCATGTTTGAAAAGGGTCATAGAAATTTAGAAACAGATAAAAAAAACTTTAAAAAAGAAAAAACTAAAAACAATAAATTTAGAAAATAAGAAAGAAAAAAAAGTAAGTCCCACCAATTTTTGACTTCTTTGATTCATAATTACATGTTTATTAATTAAAAAAATTTAGAATAAAAATGATTATAAAATTAAATGAAATGGAAATAAAAGGTAATAAAAAACTCAATTAAATAAAATAAAAAATTCTTTTCATTATAACTGCTATAATTTCCACAACAAAGATCACCATACATCACATACATGTCATAGTATAAACATGATAAATACGCCATCATTGTCACACCCTTTCTTCTAAAAAAAAATTTGGGTTTCAAAAAATATTTAAAATTAATATAATCAGACTCATCATATTATTATTATTATTATTATTATTATGAACATCATATCATCAAACTATTATCTCCACAAAAACCCAAAAAGTAAGAAAAATTGAAAACCACATAACAAATTAGTTTTTGAACCAAACAAACATGAATTTAAGTTTGTGGCTTATGTCGAGTTTCAATGAACAAAAGGAAGAGAAAATTTAGATATGTGTTATGAATTAATGAATATTCATTTCATATTCCCACTACTCGTTATTGTTAATGTGATTTAATTCACTATTCAATATGAGAAATTAAAAAAGTGATGCAATTGATTTCATTATTTATATACTTTTAATTGTTCATAGTCTTTTTCAATTTTCTTTCTAATCTTGAAGCCTATAAATAACCTTGATTGTTCATTATTTTGTGTACAAATATTTTATAGAGGTTGAGAGAATTATTTGAAATTGTTATCTCTTTTATTCATTTTATTTTATAGTGAATTCATTTTTCTATCATATTTCTCTTTAATTCTACTATTGTTGCAATTTCTTTTACAATACATTATTAGCACGAAGCTCTAATCAATTCGAGATAATAGACTATGGGGTATGTATTTATCAAAATACTCAATCTTTTATTTCTATCATTGGATTTTTTCTACACAATAGCTCTATCAAAATATCTAAATTATCTAGATCATCAAGAGGTATATATCTAATTTATCATTTACTTTAAATTTAATGATATGTAAAATATATGTTTGGAAAACTTGAATGATTTAATATATAAAATTTAATGATCTAATGTATATTGCTTGAAAAGCTTTAATTTTATTATTATGTTTGTTCTTATTTTCTAATATTATTATTATACATTGCATTATAGAATTTTTATCAAACCTTATAAACTTGATTTTATAGCTCTTGATATTTCAAACAAGAATTATGGATTACAAGTACTTGATTTTGAGAAAATATTCTCTACTTTTCATGCCTCAAATATGTTCCTATAGTATTAATATCGAGAAAAGGATTTTAAAAATATTATGAATTGATTTCATGTTTCTAAACAAAATAACGAGATATTGATGAAAACTCATAAAGTCTATCCAAATGGTTCTACTCCATTTGCTGAAATGAAAATGACAACTTATAATAATTATGGACATAAATATGATCGTGGCCATAATCATTATAATGGTTAGAATAATTATTGTATAATCATGGTGTTCATAATAATATACATTACCACAAGAAGTGAATAAACTCTAGCAATAATAATAATAATACATCTTACTACTAGATATGGACAAACTATAGCAATCACAATAATACATCTTACCACCGGATGTGGACAAACTATGGCAATCACAATAACATATCTTACCACCAAAAGTGGACAAACTATAGAAAAAATAAAAAATAAAATAAAAGTGGATTAAGCCATCATTTTGAAAATGAATGTTATTGGTATCGTATAAGGGGACATTGATCGCGTATATGTTGTGCGTCGAAACACTTGGTTGAGCTTTATCAAGCAACATTGAAAAGAAAGAGTAAAATATAGATGTCAATTTTACATATCAAAATGATGATAATTGAAATTAATAACTTGTTAGCTTTTCTAATTGAAATGATAATTTTACATAGAGATAGATATAAATTTATTTTACTATTTATTTATTTGTTTGTATTTATAAAAAATATATTTATTTCTTTATTTTATGTTAATATTATATATGATAATATCAATCTAACAAAAAGGTCTAGAATTGTGATTATATTATTACCCGAAAAGATAAATTTTGAAGGCTCTAGAAAAAAGTGAATATATTATTGCTTGAAAGATAGAATTTAAAGGCTCCAAAAGGTAAATATATTATTATCTCGAAGGAATAAAATTTTATTATAAATTATGCATTATTCTCTTCAAAGTCTCATAGAAATTTGTTGAGTTTCTAGAAATTCATTGAGTTTCAAAGATATTCATCTATATAGACATCATATCAAGACAACAAATGTGAAAAATATTGAATTCTTGAATGTTATAATTATATCATATAGAAAATATATATTAGAGAAATTACCCGCTTTCTCTTCTATTCTTTATTACAAATATTGAAATGATTAAAACAAATGTTATAGTAAACCAAAAGTGTACTAATTTAAATACTTTTATTATGTGGCATACCAGTTGTGTTATCCTAGGTCTTTTATGATATAAAAAATTATAGAAAATTCACATAAACATCTATTGAAGAGCCAAAAGATTTTTCAATTTCATAAATTTTCATGTTGTGCATGCTAATTATTAGGCCATCACCAAGTAAAATTGAGATTAAATCTCGAGTATATTTAGAACGTATTCAAGCCGATATATATGGATCAATTCATCCACCATGTGGATCATTTAGATATTTTATGCTTTAAATAGATGCATTCATAAGATAGTCACATGTGTACTTATTATCTACTCGAAACTTGATGTTTTTTAGATTACTAGCTCAAATAATTCAATTACGAGCATAATTTTTAAATTAAGTTATTAAAATAATTCACCCCGATAATACTAGTGAAACCTCTCAAGCATTAGATAATTATCGATTGGCTATTAGAATAAAAATTAAATAGCCTATTGTTCATGTTCATACTAAAAAAGGTTTAATAGAATCATTTATCAAAAAATTTCAATTAATAACTAAACCACTATTATAAAAACAAAACTCTCTATTTATATTTGGAAATATGCAATCTTACATGCAGCAATACTTATTAGCATCGGACCCATAAGTTATCGAAATTCTTTCACCTTTAATTGATTAGCGATCATTAGCCAAATATTTCTCATCTAAGAAATTTTGACTCGTGTAGTATATATCCTTAGTGCTCCTCCACAACGAACTAAAATTGATCATTAAAGGAGATTGAGAATATATGCTATATTTGAATTCTCTTCGATAATTAAATATCTTGAACCATAAATAAAAAATATTTTTATAGCTCGATTTATCGACTATTATTTTGATGAAATAATTTTTTTAACATTAGAGGGCGAGAATAAGTAAAATAAGTAGTTGAAAATATTGAAAAAAATATATTATATGAAGTACTCTATCTTTACATAATTTTGATCCTTACACAAAACAATGTAAACCAAAATTTTAAAAGATAATTTATTTACAAAGTATTGCAAATCAACCGTCGGATACATTCTCGGATCCAAAAAGTATAACTAAAATGTATGTCCCCGCCGAGAATGCTCATATTAGAATTCATGTTCTAAAAGGATAATCTATTAATGTTATAGTAGATGAATCTAAAGCACTCCTTAAGCATGGAAGATCAATTAGTTCTAAAGATAAAAATCCTCGAAAGAAAAAGCCAAATAATCAAGATAAAAATATAAAGAATGCAAATATTCACAAAATGATCCAATATATTTCTAATAATAGGTTTCCCAAAGAAGTCCACATGCTTAAGAACAATTAAGAGACTTTGATAAATTATGTTAATACAGGAAAAAAATAGGATCGAAAAGAAATATTTATCGATAAAACCTTTTACATATAATATTGCAATTGATATTTTGAATAAAAATAAGGATCCCGATCCTACATTTATTAAAGAATATCGACATAGAGATGATTGGTCTAAATGAAAAAAACAATCTAGACAAAATTATATTCTCTAACAAAAAAAGTAGTTTTTGAACCCATAATCAAAACACCTAAATATTTTAAGGTAGTGGGATACAAATGAGTATTTATACAAAAATAAAATAAGAAAGATGATATTGTGCCATGCAAAGCGAGATTTGTAACAAAAAAGTTTTTACAAAGACATGACATTGATTATGAGGAGATATATTCTCCTATAACGGATGCAATTACATTTTGTTATCTCGTTAGTCTAACAAAATATATGAAACTTCATATGCATGCATTTAACATATATGATCATAACTTATTTGTTCACTTGAAATGATATCTATATGAAAATCTTAGAAGGATTTAAGATGTTTGAAGCATGTAATGCATGTTTTCAATAAATGAATTCAATTAAATCATAGAGATCTCTATCGAATTATTTTAGTATTTGTTTTATTATTTTATTTTTTAGAAATTCAATTTATGCCATACTTTTTATTTTTATTTTTTATTTTTTAATATCCACTCTTTATTACTAACCCGTGTGCATGTGGTATAATTGTTTTAATAAATATTTATTAAAAAATTATAAAAATAACCATATTTATTCATGTATTTTTATAAAGAAATTCAAAAACGATTGTGATAATTGTTATATATATATATATATTAATGATTTAAATATTATTGGAACTCCTAAAGAGATTGAAAGTGTCATAAGTTATCTAAAAAGAGAATTTAATATGAATACCTTGGAAAAATAAAATTTTATCTTAACTCGCCGTTCAAGCTCTTAGAGAATGAGTTTTTTTATTCATCAGTCAATTTATATAGAAATGATTTATATTGATTCTATATAAAGCTCATACATTGACTAGCCCAAAGGTAGTTCGTTTACTTGATATTTAAAAGGACTCTTTTTCGGCCTCAAGAAGATAACGAAGAACTACTTGATCCTAAAGTATCATATCTTCATATAATTGATATATTGATATATCTTACTAATAATACTTGACCTAATATAGCTTCTTCTTTTTTTTTTTTTTGTAAATTTATTAGCAAAACATAATTCTATTCCAATACGAAGACATTGAAATAAAATTAAATATTTTCTATGTTATCTTTGAGAAAAAATTGATATAAAACTCAAATAAATCAAAGTAGATTTAATTGATTATACGGATGTAGGTTATTTATATGATTTATATAAAACTTGATCATAAATAGGTTATGTATTTACACATAGTGATACGAGCTATATCATGACGTTCTATAAAGCAAACTATAGTCGCTACATATTCAAATCAAGCAAAAATATCAATTCAAAAAGACAAGTCGATAATATGTTTGACTAAGATCAATAATCCATCATGTCCAAGAGACATGTAGTTTATCTACCAACGAAAGAAGTTTTAACAATATTATATGAAGATAATGGTGCTTGTATAATTCAATAAAAAAATACATCAAAGTGATAATCTAGCGAGACTTATTCACTAAAGCATTACCTATCACGAGTTTTCGAGAAAATGATTCATAAAAAAGGTGTGGTCTTAAAGATTTTAAATGATGTTTTTAATAGAAGGAGCCTAACATAGAGATTAATGTGTATAATGAATATTGTGTTCTTTTTCCTTTACTAGAATTTTTTTCACCGAGTTTTTTCCTAATATAGTTTTAATAAGACATGTTTCTTATACAATGGACATTTAAGGAGGAGTATTATAAACTAATGAATGTCTATTTTATATTCTCATTACTTATTACTCTTAATGTGATTTAATTCGTCATTCAATATAAGAAATTGAAAGAGTGATGCAATTAATTCAATTATTTATGCATCTTTAATGATTCTAGTCTCTTCCAATTCTCTTCTTAATCTTGAAACTTATAAATGGGCTTGATTGTTTATTATTTTCTATACAAGTATTTTGTAGAGATTGAGAGAATTATTTGTTGTTATCTCTTCTATTTACTTTATTTTATAGTAAATTTATTTTTCTATCATCATTCTCGTTCAATTTTACTATTGTTGTAATTTCTTTGACAACAATATGTATTTTTTTAATTAATTTTATTTTTGGATTTTTTATTTTTATTTTATTTTTTAATATGAATGTATTATACCATTATATTTTATATTTTTCTAGTTTAATTTTCTTTTTAGTTTATATGTGAGGAGAAAAAGTTATTGGTAGGACTTAATTCTTTTTTCTTTTGTTTTCTATTATTTTTTAAGGTTTTTTAGTTCTTTATATATTGTTTTCTTTTATTTATATTTGTTATAATTCTTTTCAAGTATAAAAAGAGTATATTTCGAAATTAAGAGTCAAATAACACCGTTAATAAATGGAAGGACTTAAAAGTATCTGTATTCCATTAACAATATTATTTTGATGAGGAACCATTAAAAAAAAAATGTAAAAAGGACAGAGACCGAAAAGCTCTTTAAACCAGCTTCTGACATTTGCATCACTAGACCAATGAGATTTTAGAATTGTGAATGCATCGGTAAGGGTCAATGTACTGTTGTTTATTGGTTACTACCAATGGGATTGTGCCACACGGGCGTCAATCATTAGGTTCATGAGATGACCTGCCCAATCATTATTGATAGTATTGATTTTAGAGATTTTCTTACGGCTTTTTTTCCCCCTGTTTGGAACACGTATCTTTTCCATTTTAACCAATTTATTTATATTGCATTGAGAAGAAGAATAGCAAATTATATGGTGATAGTAAAAATCCATTGAAAGATAAAATAAAATAAATTCTATTGAAACATGAAAAGAGCCGAGAATTTCTTATATATATATATATATATATATATCATAATTACAACGGAGCTTGATTCTAAAATCTAATATATATTTACAAACGAACAATATTATATCATAAAATTTCAGTCAACTCAGCCAAAACACATATTACATGCAAAAATGATGAAAAGAAAATTTACACATATTGTTCAAGTCACCCCATTACATGATGGAGCAAGCATGAGGATTTTCATCACTGAACATGGAACTAGTTTCTTCATCAACGATGGTGGAATAAACTGGCTTTCGATAGTAACCAAACTCTTCGTCACTGTAGCCATGCTTGTTGTAGTTGTATGAAGAGGTAGGCTTGTTTGCATAGTAACTAACTATTTGTGTTTCGTGTTGCTGCTGATAATAGTACTGTTGGTTGAAGTTATAGGATTCAGGATTGTAAGGGTATGGCCATAGCTCAGCTCTTCTTCCTGTCCTCCTCACTGCTTTAAGAACCTTTCTCTGGTCTGCCCATCCCATAACTGTTACTTTTTGCATAGCTATGTCTATATCAATATCATCCACACCTGTGAAACAAGCAAAAAATCATGTTTAACCATCAGAACGTACGACATATATATATCTGAGAAACAATAGAAACATATAATTCTACCCCTACGTACGTACCATCTAGTTTCTTAATAGCCTTCCTTATCTTGTTCTCGCAGCCAGCACAATCCATATGCACTCTCATCTCTGTGATCTGAAACATAGAAACAAAGGGTTTGGTTTGGTCAGCATGCATATATATATAATGATGACAATGCTTATTAATTAACATCGAATTATTGGCTACAAAATCAACACAGATTCTAATTGACAAGAAAAAGAACGAGAATAGTTTAATGGTGAATATACTATTATATTAGATTAAGTACTAAATGGATATACAGTGAACCGGCCTTTGACAATATTGTATGCTAGCTAGACAAGTACTAAACTTCAAATGACACAAAACAAGAACATGGAAGAACGTTTTATAATGGCTGGACTACAAAACCTTAACCTTAACACAGCCGTTAGCTAGCTAGCAAGTGACACGAAACAAGAACATGGAAGAACATTTTTGAAAGGGAAGGAGATAGGAAGCTAGAGAAAAAGATCTTACAGTCATCTTGGGAGCTTAAGAAACCTTATAATAAATCTAGCTCTTGTTGTATTTAATGTCTTGAAATGTAGATACGTAATGAGGATATGAAGAATGAGTTGAGAAGTGGGTATATATATAGAAGACGGGAAGGAGCGTTTCTACTTGGGAGGAAAGGCATAGAACTAGAAGAGAGAGATAAAAAGAATATAATATACGAAGTCCCATGGACCTTTTCTTTTCTCTATTCTTCAAGTTGCTTCTAAGCGACAAAACTTGAGCAAAGATTCGGCAGAAAGTGCATAGCAGCTGCTTAGAAAATCGGAATGCAGCTCCATTGCCTTTACTACTTGCTCAAAGCCATTTATACAGCCTTACAAGAAAGATCAATTCTTTCATAATATTAATAACCGCAGTGTGGAATCTAAACTTAGATTCAAGCATGTATTGCCGTCATATGATCTCTAACACGTTAAAGGCTCCTTTTAAGTATAGATCAAATTCATTTTGACGCGAACCAGATCAAAATTCCTACTCTTGTTAACTAAGAATGCCAAATTAATTTCTTATTGACCAAGGAGCCTACATAAATATCATTCGAGTTTTTGCTTGGAACCCATGAATCTTTTTGCCAAAAGCAACCGCGTAGGATGTAAAATGGGCGAGAGAGAGAGAGAGAACAAGAAAAGATGACCTGGAACATCGCCTAATTAATTCCGTGCCTTAATAGTCCTATACGTATGGTGCTCTTTAAACGGTTTAACCAGGGTTGGCTTTGCCAAATTGTTGGGTGGGCCTAAACATCGCCTAATTATTTAGCGGTGTTTAGTTTGTTAATTACTACTACTTCCGTCTAAAGCAGATTGTCTATGTCAAAAACTTTACGGGTTTATTTTTTTAAATATCTCTAATTAAAATTTATTTTGTAAAAAATTGTTTAAATACAATTATAAAAAATATATTTTTTAAAAAATACAAATAAAAATTGCCCATATAACATAATAACTAATATTATTTTTTCTTAATCTAAAGAAAACAATATCAGGTAGAGAGTATCTTATAGGTCCAATTAAGAGCCAGAAAAACAAGCTAACAGCTCAATAATTAACTAACGAGTTAGTTAATTAACACTGGTTGATGAAAGAGCGTTGAAGTTGGTGCAAATGCTGTGCAAATTACTTGACCATGACCTCGTAGGAAATTGCTATCAATATGCTGCCGTCACTGGATTATGATTGGATGGGAAGTACGCTTTAGAACCCATTTTAAATAATGACTTTTCAGTTGGAAATTATTTGGAGAAATACAAATAATTTTTCATGTCCTAATAATTAAGTCAGCGCTCATCCATCACGTATAGCAATTTCTGAGCAACCATCCAACGGTGCCTTAGATCAGCTCTAATTAAGTACTCTATATAAAACCCGTTTTCTTTTCATGTGGTAATTATTTTGAGAGAATTTTTTTTCTACCCTAAAAACTGATGAGGTTAGTATCTTCCATAGGTAAAAATAATAGCAACTTGAAAATCACTACTCGTTCATCCAACCATAAATTAAACTCTACCTCAGGTCTGTTAAAATTATCAGTCATTGCAATTTCTTGACAAGTATCCAACATAATTGTTCCATTTTTTCTTTTGACGTCCATGTAGCCAAATAAAAGGTTACCCTTTAGATCAACAGTCGACTCCAGTCCATCACTTGGATTTTAATTAATTTTCATTTTTTTCCTCCAAATAATTGACGAAAAAAACTGGATAGAAGTAATAATTATCATACCCTATACAATGAAAATTAAGAAAATGGAAAAAGAAATTCCAATTCAGCAAATTGGAGAACTTAATTAATAATAACCGATCCCAAAAATTAATTAAGATCCTTATTTCCGTAAGATGTTATTAAGCTGTAATTAGATCAACACTAAAAGGTACAAAAATGGGTTCAGAAAAGCAAAAATGGATCATAAAAATAGTTATATATACACTGAATTTGATATAATTGGGTTTTGGTTATTATAAATTATATAGTGGTCGATTTGAGGATTCTTCTGGCTAATTTATTACTCAATTTTCCATTTTCAACATTTTATTTAACTTTATATTCAAATATTTATTGTATTGAGAGTGATACTTTTCCAACAATATTTGAAAATTGTTGTGGGTCAGCCCATTGATTACCAAAAACTTTTATGCCATGTTTATTTATTTTGGCGCTTCATACATGATAAGTACTTTTTTATTTTATTTAAAATATAGCTGGTTATAAAGGAAAAAAATACAACTGCACCTTAAGCAACTGCTTGCGCAGAAAGCAGGACGTATACATGCTCAATTTTTTTACCCCTACTTCTAAGGATTTGAGAGACTTGTTAATTTGTCGAAAATCATTATCCTATGGCGTAATACAATTACTTCATCAACGTTTGCGTGAAGAAACAAAGTTCCACTCTAAGTAATCAATTAATTAAATTCGAAATGATAAGTAAGTGGGAAGTGATTTAAAATGACTTGAAATGGTTTTGTTAATTTACAGTGCTATAAGTTGACTCAAGTCACTCATAAAAGAATTGATTAAAGTTTCACTAGCAGTAAGTTTATGTCAGGTTTATTCACAACAATTATTTCTCTTGATCGATTATGACAAAAAGTACTTCTGTTCTATTGTATTTTAATAATTTCAGAGTTTTATAATTAAGTTATATAATTTGAACTTTAAGATATTTTTTTTGATAAATCTTATCCAAATTTTATTGTTTTCATAATTTATAATGTCAACTTAGTTGATCGTTAATTTTTTTTTTTTTTGCTTTTAATTTTTTTAATAGTTAAAAATGTTTTTCCTCTATTTTTTTAAGAGACATGCTTTCTATTTAAATTTATTACATATTAATCCTTTTGATTTTTCATAGTCAATAAAAATTTTATTTGTATATAATTTTTTTTAATTTTAAAAAATAATTTTAATGTAGCATTATTATCCATTAAAACATTCAACTTCTATAATTAATAAAATACAAATATTTATTGGTTGAATTTGATCTATTAAAATTATCAAATAATTAATTTTAACTAAAATTTTTCTTTTGTCATGGCAATAAATTTATTCTTATGATTGTCAATCATTAAATTTTAAATATAATTGCATTTATTTAATATTTTTTTATCTTCATGTTTTATAGGGTTTTGTATTCTCTCAATTAATTCAAATATATAATATACATTTAAAATTGTTAGAGTTAGAAAGCTGTTTTTTTTAATTCTAATTTTATTTATTTTTTTTAGTTTTTTAAAGGTAGGTTCAAAAGTTAAAAGTTTTTTTTTTTTTTGGGATAACCAAAAAAAAAAAGTGATAAATTTAATGAACTTTTTTATTTATAGAATCTCTCTTAAAAAATTAAAGAAAAGAGTTTTTAATATTTTTTAAATAAAAAAATTAATAGAAAAAAAATTAACGAGTAGAAAAAAAATTGTAACGGTCAACGATTAGCGATTACAAATAACGGATAAAATGCGATTTTCATAAGGTTTGCTTAAAAATCGATATTTTGAGATTTAAATTACGTAAATTGATAATAAATAGTAATTGAAATTATCAAATTGTAATAGAACGAGATAACTTTACCATTAAACTCGTTTATGCCATCCAAAATAAACAACATTAAGTGATTAATTAATTTCAATGAATAGTGATAAAAAATATTAATTTCAGTGGATATTATGCGTATCTCATCAATTTTTTTCCTAAGATAAAGATTTCATATGATCAAATAATTAGCAAATTAGCTTTTTTAAGGAGGATCAATTTTTTAATATATATGATTATAGTGAAATAGTAATAAAAATTTGATACGACTCTAAAAATAATTGTCAATAGTTATTTTGTATGTTCATTTTAAAGATATTAAATATTTTTATACAACTATATATTTCTTTACCAAAATTGGAGTTGACACGGTCTTCTCATCAATAACGAGATCAATCCTATTTGTTAACAAGGTACCAAGTTTAAATACCCATAAGGGACCAAGGTCGTTAAATTTTAAAATATTATTAAATATGACATCTAGTTTAATATATCTAAATTTAAATACATTAATAAAATAGATCCAATTCTTATAAGTGTTAATAGATTTATATATGCCGCATGTGTGTATTAGTAGTTATTAAGTTAGTCGAGAGAAAGTTAATACTAATTGTGTTTTTATCTTTAACTAGCTTAGAATGAATATTGTTAATTATATGTAATACACAAGTCAATTACAATTATAAGAGCTTTACCAAAATCTCTCTCTCTCTCTCTCTCTCTCTCTCTCTCTCTCTTTAATTTTCCTCTCTCTCAATCGCTTATTTAGCCATGAAAGCTAACATGGTATCGGAGCTTGAAATATCATAAGGTTCTTTTATTTCTTCAATTGATTTAGTTCTTTTCAATTGTTTCAATCATCTTCTATTGTTGAAGTAACATCATTGCTCAATGATCCTCACTCTCCATACTTTATTCATCATTCGGATCACCATGGCTTTTTAATAGTTACTCCCGAGCTAACTACATAGAATTATGTAACTTGGAGTAAATCTTTTAAACAAATTAGATTTTGTTAATGGTTCTATTTCTTAACCTAAA